TATTTCCTTCCTGTTTCCCAGTAGCATGATGTCTTTGCCTAAAGCATTTATTTAGACTTTACTGATTTCATTTTATTTTGACGTGCTGCCTATGTGAAAGTGTTTGCAAACAATAACATGGACACATGGCAGGACTGAGTAAGAGATGGGAAATACATTCTGTAGTCTCGCTCTGGAGTCTGTATATTTTCTTTAGATGCAGTCTTTTCTAAGCCTCATGACAACCTCTCTTGTCACGACTTTAGCATGAGTTTTCTATAAATTCATCTGGTACGTGTTCGGGCTTTAGAAGAGCTTATTTCAAGATACCGGAAGCAGAGAACCAAAATGGTGCCCAGTTCATTCTTTCCAGTGTATTTTCCATTCTAAATGATACTCTGACTTGAGTGGCAGTGTTGGAGCTTACTAGAAAATATGAAATACCATTCTTGTGTGATGGATGGGATTAGAGCAGATAGAACAAAAATGCATTAAATTTTCCCCCAAGGGTTTCTTTAGTTAGTAATAGCTTCCTTGGCTGGTTTTTTTATGTTTCTGCTCTCTATTTTCCCCATAGAATTTCCTGTAAACTCTGCCTGTCAATCCAATTTTTATTGCTTTCATTTTTAATACTCCAATTGGTACATTTTACAAAATAGACCAGCCATGCTAAAATGTGATGCATGATTTTCTCTGTCAGGATAAGAAGGAGAAACCTAAATTTCTAACAGAAGAAGTTAAGCCACTGCATGATGGTGAGAAGGAGTTGTTGAGTGGTCATGGATGTCTGTCATGTTATTATGAGCCCTGGACATGTATTTCTGTTTACTGCTTCATAAATAAGACCTGCCAAAAGTAAGAATTAAAAGAGATTATTAAATGCAAAACATGTTTTTCACAGACAAAGGTCATTTTGTCTGGTTACTAAAGCCCTGGCATGCATAGAAAGCATGTATAAAATTTCCTCCAACATTTAAACCCTACTAGATGCTCTTTTGTGAGGTCTCATCTTTCAACTCCTTATCTCTTTCAAGGACCCGTCTTCTATTGTCGATTTGTCTGTCATTGGCCATTGTGCACTGAATCACTATTTAATTTCCTAAACTACTCTCTATTCGTTCATCACTCACTCATTATGTAGTTATTAAGTGTACTGCATCCCAGTCTCTGTGCTAGGCAACAGGGCTGATGTGTTACCTGCCATGAATCTATAGTCTAATGGGAGAAACAGTAAATAAATACTTTGACCTTTTATGCTTGGGCTGCCACCAACATACAGTAACTGGATGACCCAAACAACAGAAATTTATCTTCTCACTAGTTTTGATGGCTAGAAGTTCAAGATTGAGGTTCCTGTTGATTCAGTTTTGGTTAGGGCTCTTTTTTTTCTGTCATATACTATGTTTCCTCATAAATAAGACCTCTGTGGGGAAAAATCAGCCTTGAATACTAGAGATCAAATTCCAGCCCAAATTAACCCACTCTTGCCTTACCTGCCTTACAGAATAGCCATCAAGCGAGAAGATAGTGATGACAGTGTATAACCTTCTTGGTATTTCTTTCTATTAAGTATGCTAATACAGTCCAATCAAGGTTCCATCTTTATGACCCCCTTTAATTACTTTGCTAGTGGCCCCATCTCCAAATAAAAACCACACTAGCAGTTAGGACTTGAACACACAAAGTTTGGGGGACACAAACATTTCATTCATCACATGTATAAGTAACATTTTAGAAATTCTGTCTTCAGGAAGTGTTAAACAATAAGGAAAAAGAGATAGAGAATACATGAAGCATGGATGGTGAATGATGTTTTAGCTGTGTGTCTCGCCAAAGGGTGGGGCAAAGATAATTGGATGAGACCAAAGATGAACAAGAAATAGTCTTCAGGGATTTGTGGAGGTAAATGTTCTAGGTAGTAAGAATTCTAAATTCAGTAACAAGATGGGAAGGCTAGTGACGCACATATGGGAGAGAAGAAAATCAGCGTGATGGGTGGATCCCAGTGGTCTAGAAAGGGTGGGATATAAAAATGCATCAGGAGAGGTGGGCATTATCTTGATGGTTCTGGGCAGTACAATGAGTTCATGTTTTGTATTCATTGCAATGGAAAACATTGGGAATATTTTAGGTTCAAGAACATATGGATGTGGTAAATTTGAGTGACTGTAGAAACCCTAAGAGACATTTTACAATCTTTGCATCTGTGTTACACATGATTAAGGCTCAGTATCTTTTTAAATTAGAAATGTAGATAGACAACTTCTTATATGGCATTATTTTTAAAAATAATTAATTTATTCAGGACACATTTCTACTTTTTGAGATACAGTTCTAGAATTTTGACAAGCACAATTCTGTGACCACAATACTAAGCCAGATTTTGAGCAGTACATTCATCTCTTCCTAAAGTTTTTGCATTGTGCTTTAAAATGTATCCCTTCTTCCACCCCCAGATCTTGGCACCCACTGATCTCTTGTCTGTAACTCTAGTTTTCATCTTTCCCTGTGGTAACACAAATGGAATCATTTGATATGCAGTCTTTTTAGTCTTTTCCACTTAGCAGAACTCACTTGTGATCTGGCATGTGCAATGTTTCAGTAATTGTAGGTGGCCTTGCCTTGGTGTGGGTGCTACACACACACATTCAGCCAACTACAATGAAAACTATTTGAAAAAGTATATCTGCAGAAAAAAAGTGCATTCATCTTTATATAGGTCATTTACATTGTACTAAGTACCATAAGCACACACCAAGCATGCAGGAAGATGTGTACAGGTTATATGAACATATGAGAGCGTTTTATATAACAGAGTTTAGTATCTTTGGATGAGGCTATTTATTTTTTTTCATTTTAAAGAAAAAAAAACAATAAAAACAAGTGATACAGAATTTCAAAACAAGATAATAGGAAATCAGCAATGGCTAATATAGTCCTATTATTATCTTCAAATTATTTGTTCAGATTATGAGATAAAGGCATGCATAATTGATCAAACAGTATAAACACAATTTTTTTAAATTAACTAAAAGAAATTGATAGTAAAACTATCTTAGCTATCTTTTGTGTTTGTGTGTATATATATATATATATATTTTTTTTTGCCTTCTTTCTTTTTGCCTCTCACCCATCCCATTGTTCTTTCCTTCTGAGAAGTTACTTTCCCTTTCACAATATCTAGTATAGATTTTGAACCTCATTAACTTTTTCAGTTTCTTACGTCCATTAATTTTCAGTTTCTTACATCAGGGAGACAATATGAGGTTTACACATGGATTTGGTTATTTGGAGTGGGTCCTGGAGACAATCCACATAGAAATCAAAGGATGACTGTATTCTCCTTTCATTGCCCAGCAATATTCTAATTTATGGATGTACTATACATTACTGATTCAGTTTAACAAATCAAGTTAATCTTGGGTTGTATTTATTTTCAATAAAATATTGATAAAGCCTCTATAAACATTTGCACTGAGGTTTTGTGTAAATAAAATACTTTACTTTTCCTAAAAAAATGGAATTTCCAGTTCATATACTACATGTATGTTAAGCTTTATAAGACATCACCAATCTGTTTTCCAAAGTGGCTGAACTATTTTACATTCCCATCAGCAGTAATTCTGTGCATCCTTGTCAATATTTGGCACTGTCTTTTTCTATTTTTCTATAGTTTTATACCCAATCTTTTAAAAAATTTTTCAGTTATGTAAAATTAGGGGTTCAGCAGGCATGAATAATAGAACTACAGTGTATAATAAGCCCAATTTTTCAGCTATATTTTTAAAACCAAATATCTACAGCTTTCCTCTGAGATTCTTGCTAAGAGCTCAGTAATATACATTTAAGGCTATAATTCTCTAGTCTTACTATCAACATTTGCTCATCGAATCCTGGAAACCTTACATTTTACTTATATAATCATGTGAGTATTGCAAACTGCTTCTTTTTAAATTAACCCATGAAATTCTCTGTTCAAAATATCAGTGATTCATCAGGCTTAATTAAGGCTTTGTCCAACTAATTTAAAAATATGTGCGTACTAACCATCACTTGCTAAGCATATTGCAATGTGAAATACGATTCATTTTCCTGGATGTGTGTTTTTCATATCCACTCTCACATCAGGGAAATACTCTGTCTCAGACAACCTAGTTTTGTTTGTTGTGTGACTGATCCTATTAGTCTTTAGTTATAGTGAGACTTGAAGAAAGAAGCTTGATTTAAAATTCTACTGAAGCATTAAGCAAGTTGCAATGCTGGGGTGTAGGCTGATCAGAGATGGGCATGTCACTGATTTTACATCTAGGAGCTACCCTTTTAAAGATCTCCAGAATGATCTCTCTTTTGATACATGGATTACTAATCTTGCTCACCATAATTTTATGATTGTTTGACAAAAGGTCTTGGAAGACTAGAAATGTTTGTGCTTCTCAAAGAATCACCAAAATTTTATCTCAACTATTCAATATTTCTCCCAGTGCCTTTATAAAACCCAAAATTAACCCTATTCCAACTTAAATGCAAACCATCCTCTGTCTTCTCTTGTCATGCAGATAGAGTTCTCTTCATGTGGGCATGGACCCGATATCCAGAGCTTTTTTTGATTGATTTCTTGAATAAAGAGATGTAGTTCCTGTCTGTGTAAGATCTGCCATCTCTCTAAAGCTTGATGTTTTCCTTTGCCTTTCTTTCAGACAGCTTTAGACTGCCATTATCTGTTCTTGAAGAATGATGTCTCTGGCTTTCCTCCTCCTATAATTAAAGACACTATTATGCTCACTTGGCCTAAGAGACTTTGTATAGGTAATTTTGTAAGATCACTTGAAGTTGTTGCTTTGCTTAGATGATTTGTTTTTAGAAGAATCAGATACTGTCAAGCTCTGAATGGTCCTGTTAACAAGTGGTGGAAAAACATGCAGGGGAAACTCTTGTTTTCCCAGTTGTTCTTGGTAGATTTGATTAGTGGCCAGGCATGCAGCAACTTCATGAATCTTCTTTTTTGTTGTTTCTGTTTGCAGATTTTATTCTTCACCGTACAGTATTGCAACCAACCGCATGATTCCACAGACATCTATCACGCCATTCATTGCTGCTTCCCCTGTCTCCACATACCAGGTATGTCTGATTTACCTGCACCTCAGGAGAGATCTTTCTTACCATTAATTCACTATCTATAGGCAAATAGAGCACAGTAAACTAAAACAAAAGTCATCCTCATACACTTTAGTCACGTCTTAATGTTCAAGTTTGGAATCAGCCTATTCTTTCTAGGACTGGTGTGCATCAATTCATGGAATAATAAAATCCAGCATAATTTCATTCCTCCTGCTGAGTTTTTATGGTTAGGATCCTTTCCAGCCAGTCTTAGGACAGCTGTCTTACCACCAGGAAATTATTTTGCTTGTTGTCTTGTGTTTTGGCCATTTATATGTCCTATTGTGTCTTTTCTAAAAGCACGTTTGTAGACATTCCTTCACTGACTCCAGGCTATTTTATCACTGTCATCCAGTTTTGTCACAGTGGTCCTGGTAAAGCTTTACAGATAAATGTTATATCACGCTTCTCCCAAATAGGGAGATTATCAAAGTTGTGAAAAGTTATTCCTACTCCTTGCTCTTATCTCTTTCTCAGGCCCAAAGAGATCAAAACAGACAGTAAGGGCTCTTCAAGTTTGAAATATAAGAAAAGCTAAGACTCAGTGTGTGTCGTAAATCAGGTGTTGTAACCCATTAACTCTAAGTACACAGATGAATTAAGTCACACTTGCACCTCAAAAATAGTAAATACCTTATTCCTTTGAATTATCAAGCATGTGATATTTGTCCTTGTTCTTCTTTACTTAATATTGGTCTTCAAAAGTTCTTTTATTTCTAATTCAGAAAATACCTTTAAATGCTACATGTAGAAAGAGAGAATCTAGTGTATTTTAAAAATTCTTTGGAGAGAGAAAGACAAAGAGAATGCATGCATGTGTGTGTGTGCATGGGCTTCTCTGTGTTTTGCAAACGCTGCCAGGGATGATTTATAATGGGCAAAACTATAATATTGCTGACTACAAGTAATGCAATGAAATTTCATCTTATTCAGCCACTACATACTTCATTTTAGGATGTCCCGGCTGTCAGAACATCAAACTTGAGAAAATAAACATTTTCCTTAATCAATTCCCCCAAAGAAGATCATTTTCATTCTTTTTTCTGTAATCATGATCTTGAAACATGTGCATGGGTGAATGAAATAGGCGTTTGTTTGAACTGCATTAAAGGGTCCTAGAATGGGAACTTCTTAGTTACCTTTCCTTGGGACTCATGAGGCGACGTGCAGGTGCTGTTCATTTTGTTCTTATGGCAGGCCTGCTTGCTTGTGTGTGTGCCTGTGTGAGGGTAGATGCACACGTATGTATGTGTTTTCTTTTCTCTGATCTTGGCCTCTATTTTGGCCAGGACCACCCATCGAGCATCAGTGTAGGTCACTTTGATGATATGAATAATTTATTCACAGAAAAATGATTTTACGTGGGAGAGCTCATCAGTGGAATTTAACTGTAGCTTCCGTTTTTCAAAACAGAGATTACAGCAATTTCCCATGTTGTTGATTCTTGCTTGTTGCCACTTTCTACAATCCAAAGTGTATTGGCAATTTTGACGGTATAAATATACTGAAAACATAATCTCTATAGTTTTCTATATGACAGTCAGCTTATACATGCTGATTTCCTCATTTGGCTGACCTATGATTTATTTAAGAAGAGTTGGCTGCTCAAATGTTCATTTTTATTTGCTATACCAATTGCAGTGTCAGCAAGAGAAAGATACCAACTTGCTTAGCTTGGCTTTAACCCAAAACATTATCCCAAAATTTCTGGTTTATTTCATTAAGTCTTAGCACCAATTGTACTGATTGGGCATATTTCTAAGATCGAATCACTATAGCATTCAAGGTAACCACTAACAGAAAATGAAGACAACTTAACAGTCAACTCTTTCTTCTTTAATTACTTAGCAAGCATCCCTGGAGGTTGACACATAAATAATCTCTGAGGCTTTTGAAAACTTTAGCTTCAATGCCAAACTCAAAATGTGCTGTAGGATCCAATGTGATCCATGTGGGCATAGAAGCCAGCCAGTGAAATGGGAAGTTGCTTTACATTTCATCATGGTTCAGGGATGAAATTAATCTGGTCATGAGTTCTCTTTTTATCCGGGATTTTGAGCACTAATTGGCTGTAAAGTCAGATTGATTCTACTTTCTCATGACCAAGTATGACTCCACTGAACACAAGAACCAAGTTCTTTCTGTGATTGCTTTGTGCTAATAAATGCTGTTTGATGCATAGGTCCAGAGTACTTCATGGATGCCTCATCCGCCATACGTTATGCAACCAACAGTAAGTGTTCTCAGTCACCTGAGGCTAAATATTTTTATTATCCAAGTGCAAGCTTTTGTAATGCATAGAAGCTTTGGGGTAAAGCTTTCATTCAGTTCTGTGATTCTTTCAGGAAGCCATAATTTCCAGATTAAAAGCTGTTCCTGAAAATCTACAAAAGGATGTTGAGTATAGCATGAGTTACAAAGGCAGAAACAGAGACACACAGAGCAAGCAAAAAGGAGAGTGAGCAAACTCCCCTGTTGGAGAAATAGCAGTCTATCTCCCAAGTCCATGTCTACCATTTGTCCTGAAAGCTTTTTGCTTATACAGGAACTTAGAACGCTGGAAAGTTAAATCCACCATACAGGGAAAATCTTTGTTTTCCATCTGTCATGCATTATTTCTGATGTAGTCTGATGAGATTTGTGGGAAATTTTGAATATCTTAGCCAAGTGTTGACCTGAAACACTAAATTCAAAATATGTAGTTGTCTATTAATAAATGATTAAATATTGATAGCCAGATGGGTAAATAGTTTTATGTTAATTATCTCAAGCAAGTATTTTCATTAGTGAAAAAAGTCTTTTAAGATATTCAAACTCTGTTTACTACTTACTACGTTTCGCATTTTGTGGCACATTACATTAATCTCAACTAAAAAGAATATTTTATATTAGAATCTAGAATAAAGGCTAATGACTTTTATTTCTGTCTCACTTTCAAGTCCAGTCTATAGAACTATGAGAGAGAAATGGAGAAAGAGAGAGAGAAAGAGAGAGAGCGAGAGAGACAGACAGACAGAGACAGAAAGAGAAAGAGGGAGAAAGAGACAGAGATACAGACACAACAGACACAGACACAGACACAGACAGACAGGTATGAGGCTAGCAAAGAGCCCTAGGTAGGACATTGTATGAAAGGTCTCTGGCATATTTTTTTTTTTTTTTTTTTTGGTCTCTACTGGTCACTCTACTTAACTGACCTTTGAGAAGAATCAAACAAGAGAATATATGTAAAAACAAAGTAAAAATATGGCATGCTATACATTATTACATTATACATTATCATAGAGTATTTTAATGAACAAAAAGGAGCATTGATACTTTTTTAACCCTTTTGGGAGTTAAATTTAAATGAGGTCGCAAACAATAAAGACTAGAGAGCTAAGAACACTGATATCCACCTATTGGACAAAAAGATCAATCAAAAGATTTGATTTTCATATTTGAAATATAAATGTTTCTACATTGTTTCTAGCATTTCTAGAGATTCTTTTTATTTAAAGATTACAAAATATGTAGCTTACCACAGTAGAACTTTGAAAGATATTTGTCAAGTCTAAAATCCTGCTATGTGCCATTATTTATATACCTGGGGGACTTTCTGAGTTCATCTGGTCTACGTGCTATAAATCATAGCAATATGCAATACATCCAGGCCACACACTTCTCTCCAAGTCATGAGTATAATTTAGCCTGTGCCGCCAAACTCATCCAGAGCACAGAACAGAGCAAGCCAACACAGGAAACGCAAAGATGGCCTGCCAAGTTCTAAAGAGGAGATATTCTAGAAAAAAAGTCACCTTCTAAAATAATGTGTTCATCTATAGTTCACAAATGCTTAGTCTTTTCACCAAGGCTAAGCATCATCTCTTTGTGACTAAAATGAATATATATCTGGAAAAATCAGTTTTTCAGAGACATCAAAGTAAATACAATGCTTCAGTGCTTGAATGAAAGTAGTTGGATAGATTTTTATTTCACTCGTTAGCCAGTGCCTAAGCAAAGTTCTTTTTTTAGATACCTCCCCTTCCATTCATTACAACTTCAACTCCATGCATGCATGTGTATTTCTCATCTACCTTGCTTTAGCAATAGAGGCATGTATGTGCATTTTCTGAATGTATGTGACAGAGACAAAGGTTCACTTTGTCCTTTTGAACTTTTCTTACTGTGGCTTCCACTCATTGATATCACTGTCATATCCCATGAATGGACTGCACAGCATGTTTCCTTAAGCCACTATGTTTAAAATACAATTTATTTGGCCAGAGTGGATTCCTAGGAAGAGAATGGCCATGCCAATTACCAATTCATTATAACAGCGTTCCAGGAACACAGAATTTGTACCATCAGTCTTTGTTCTGTGACAGTTTTTCTATTTTTTTTAATATTACATAAATAATTTGCCTTATATTCTGTAGTTTCATCATCAAACTATGGATTAAACTGATCACAGTATTACCAAGATATCAAAAGACATTTCAGGTTTCTAAGGCCAAGAAACAAAATATTCAGGTTTGAGAATAATGAATGAATGAGTTTATGATTGGCAGCACAGATTCTTGTTGGGATTCTTGGGATAGAAAGCCTTGCTAGCTAGAGGACACTGGGAAACAAACTTAAATTTTCTGAATGCCAGTTTCCTCCTTTGTAACATGGATATACTAACACCTAAGTAATTATGTTCATTATGTTCACTAAATAAGGCATTAAAGCTTTAGAAATAGTGCTTGGCAAATAGAAAACACTCAACAAATGATTATTATTTAGTTAAATAATAAGCATCGTATTATGCTTTAGATTAGACCAATGGTAGAAAATGAGTGTTGGTACAGAAAAGAATTTGAGGACAAGCAGGAAGTACCTATTTCTGCTTCATTCACAGTGATTTATCTTACTAATGGGTTTTAAATGGATTGTTTTGATTGAACATATTTCATTTACCTACAGAATGATTCAATGCCTAAAGAAAATACTCACTGGCATCCACTTTAAATATATATATATATATATATATATATATATATATGCTTCAAATTATAACTTGCTTGCAGTTTCCCTCCTTGACCATATTTTCTCTTCTCCATGTTCAGAAAACCTTATAAATTCCCCTCTAGAAATTTCCTCTTCCCTCGTTGCCATCCATACACTCTGGCTCTTGAGTGGGGCCATATTCATTAACTCTACCAGAAAGAACCCTTTCAAATCCCTCCCAGACGTTGCTCCTTCTCAAGCAGGTTTGTATCTCAAAACAAGTGTTCAGGGAAGTATTAAATGAAAAACTTGCAATGAAACTAAAGCGAGTGCTCCTTGTGTTTTTACTAGTATGGAGGAATGTTTAAACAGGAGGTATAACAGTTAAGAGCAGAATGAGTGACGGAAAGAAAAGGATGAACAGAAAGAAAGCACCAGCATAAAGTTTGCTGAACTTTGCCATTCCATTTTTACTTATTTGAAGAGTTAGTTTTCTAAGTAGTGAGCAATGCACTTCTTGTTGACTTAGGAAAAGATCCTGGGGATAAATGATAGAAGTCTCCACCACATTCTAGTATGTGTGCAAAAAAACGGACCACTGATATTGGACCCTGGGTAATTATTGGATCTCCTGAAGTATGTCAGTCCCGTTAGGGAAGCAAGACTGTTTCTCTATTCAGTATGTTTATCATATGAACAGATTCTAAGGAGATAGAACTGTGACACGGTGTGAAGAATTCACTTTTAGGGGTGAACAAGTAAAAATGTTGACAGTCCGTGCAATCAGCTTGTTTCTGCTTCTCAATGCAAGGCTCTACCCTATCCTCTGAAATTCCACCACTTCACTGACAGAATTTTAACAGTTGGTAGATTGCACAAAATATCTTCAGAGCAGGATGACACACTGGAATGTCATATGAATACACAATTCTCATGTTCCAATACACTGGATAGTTTGTTAAATCTCTGCTACTGACAAGGCAGAGAAAAATGAGAGCTCCCAAGAGAAATCAGAGTTTCATTAATTTAAATTCTATTTAAGCTCATTTGAATCATAAATCTTCTGTTATTCATATGGTTAGTGTTGCTTCATATCAAGGAGAAAGGTCAGCTTTCATTTTTACTTAATTACAATTTGGTTACCTAATTACAGTAGTGTAGGAAATGCAAGATACCCTTATTGAATCCCTGGAAGATTTGTTGCTATGCAGGATTATATTGTAATTTTTATTATAAATATACTTAATTTACAGTTAAAGAGCAAACACAAACTTTCTTTCTATAGCAATATTATTTAAAAAAGAAAAAAATACTTACTTTGGTTATCTTTTAATTCTAGACACGTGATGCCTGAGTTGGAAGTTGTATCTTCCAAATTTCCAGGAACATTTTTTGAAAAAGTATATCACAAAGTTCAGAAAATATTGCAATGCCATTCAAAAAGCAATTTTTTTCTTATATTTCATTTTCACTTCAACACCTCTGTTGGGCAAAAAACAAAAAACAAAAAACAAAAACCCTAAAGCTTCTAATTTTTAAAGCAAAATGCCATGGCAAAGTGTTTTTTCTAAGAAGTCAATGTGGCTGAAAAATTATACATTTACAGATTTTTTAGAAGTAAACATAATAATATCCTCTCCATACTTCTGTTAGAAGGGAATCAAATAAATGAGAATACCCTTAATTAGGGCATCTTCATCTTGGTGTCACCTCTTTTTAAATGTTCTTCTAAACCAGTGGGATAAGTAGGAACAGAAGAATTTTCATAGCAAGTCCCTTAGATACACTAAAGAAAAAAAAAAAAAAAAAAAGAGCTGGCCTTGAAGTTGTAAATTTCATTCCAAGTTGCTAAAGTATGTTTTCAAGCCTTAATTTACATGACTTTATGAAACAAATACTATAAACAATGGAATTCAAAGCCCAAAGTTCAAAAGAATATAGAGGTATAAGACTTCCCAAACAGGATTGCCTTTACTTCCCATTCTACTGCTTGGAAATAAACCTTGGTAGCAAATTCTTCGGTCACTATTCAGTCTTTTTTTTTTTTTTTTTTTTTGTCTTTTTCCTTTTTATCGGTACCAGGGATCGAACTCACAACCGCCTGCTTGCAAGGCAGGTGCTTATGCCGCTGAGCTAAATCCCCAGCCCCTATTCAGTCAATTTTTATAAATATAGAGGTAAATATAGAGGTATATATATATATATATATATATATATATATATCCTTATACAAAATTAAAAATATAATCTTACCACTTTAAT